CCTGTTGGTGGTGGTATTTCTGGGCGAGGTAGGTGATGGTCGATTCAAGAGTCCATTGAAGTGATCAGTCCATTGTTTTATTTGTTTCTCCTCTCTGGTAATAAGGTTCTCTTAAACATCTTTTATTGGTTTCATCATCTGGGTTGGTCACTTCCTGGATAGAGACGTGGTTATCTGATATAATGTCCTTCGGTCTTTTTTACCTGCGGCCTACCTGTTCTGCTTCAGTTGCCAGTGTGTCGCGTAAATCGAATAATCAAAGTTGTAATGGTTAAAGATAAGTTATTCCACCAGGTAGGTGTTAAAAAAGTCATAAACATGCCAAACAAAGGCAACATATTACTAATGAATTATTTGGTTTCGCATATTCCAAATAATTTGAAGAATAAAATGAACTGAGATGATAAAACTCAGTTTTTAAAAGGAATGAAGAATGGAAGGAATAACTAATGACTAAAAGATTACTGAAGAAGCTCATCACCCACTGAGATCAGACACAGAGATCCTATCTAACTGCGCGTGAATTACAGCTTCTACCAGCACTTGAAAATTAATCTGATATTTGCTAGTGACTAGCTTTATACAGGAAGTTATCTGGAATTGTAATGACAGACAATGGGGTCCACAAAGTCAGTTTAGTGAACAGTTATTCGTCTGTAAAACTAACCGAAGGTCTCGATATATATCACGAATTGTCCGAAGTTGAAATTTATGGGTTACTGGATCGGCTCCCAGTGGCTGAATGGTCTCCAAATACGTCTTGCGACTGGTAGGTCTTGGGTTCCACCCCCACGTTAATTATGTATTGCTGAAGAGTCACAAACCAGGACACCTGTCCAGTACTCCATGGTTTTCCAACAGTTCCCTAAATAAATGCAATTATTCATCGTCTTATTAACACTTAACATGAAATCAACATTTGAAAATCATTTTTAAGCGATCATTGCATAAATAAGTACAACATTACTGAGTCTAGAGGAAACTGCAAGCGATGGATGAGAAGCAGGGAAGTGAGTATTCAGGAAGCGACATTAACAATATCGCTTAACTGTTTTGCGTTCAGTAAACCTTTCCGAATAGTTTAAGGAAGCATGTTTTAAAATGTTAATCTAAAATTTGTTTAAATATTTGACATTATCAATGGCTGCCTGTTTGAGTCTCTGGGTTGCCTGAATTTTCATCCGAGACAATGCATCTTATTTTCTCTAGTCCTTATTGTCATAATCATTCAGTTATATCCGCGGGTCTCCAAATGTTGTACGCGTGCACACTTTTAATTGGTTTGCAGCCTAACGTTGAGCATTTCTGTGAGACCGAAGAAAAATACCTTAGTGGATTCTTTCATTCTTCAGATCTAACATCACTATATCACATGATGTACTAGAGATGACTGTTTTACTTGAAACTCCTGGATGAAGAGTATATATTATGCGATAAACTGCGCTGAAAATTGTACATGTTGTGTAAACTTATTGTGCATAATAAGGCTATATTTATTATTATATAGTTTACTTTTGAGTGTATGACACCAGTAAATTATACTATTCAAGCCAGATACCTTGTGTCAAATGTATAAGCCCGTGACTTCCTGCAGTTCTAGTGAGAAGTCGTGACCAGTGAGGTCTATTCAGTCAAGTGTGAGGAGTGATGTCCAACTGATGATATTGGTTGCTGGTCGCGCTAAATAACGAATTGGTAGAAGTTAGAAATCATGAACTGGCCACTGAATCGGGTCCCAGTGGCTGAGTGGTATACGAGCTTGCTTTGTAACCTGAAGGTTCTAAGTTCGAAGCCTGGTGGTGGTTACTTGTGCAATCAAAACGAAAAGTATACTAGAACAACTAATTCATTTCACCTGAAAAAGGTTATGTCTGTGAATCAGTGAACTCATGAGATAGCTGAATACAAAGCGGTTCTTAATGTTATAAGCTGATGACGATTGGAGAACGACCTATTTTACTATTGTTTTCTGTCTCTAAATAGTTCTCAGTTTTAACCGTATACTTAAAACTAATGGTGTTTTCGCTTCACTTTAAGGTGATTAACTGATCATTCGTATTATTTTTATTATACCTTGTGGTTCCAAGTGGAAAATAGGGCTAAACAGAGCATCTCCATTTCACTATGTTCTCCATAATCCTCATTAGCTGATATTACGGTTGCCCATAGACTTTCATCTCCCCCTCACATGGTCTTTCTCGAATCCATGTCCTTCTCGTCTTTTAATAATCACGTTCCACTCAATGGTTTACCTGGGGAGTGACGTCCTGTCCATCTCCATTTCCTTCCGCGTGTTTGTTTGGTTATAGGTTCGTGACATGTTCGTTCCTGGCGCTCCTTGCTGGTGATCATTACTGGCCATCTGATATTTATTATGGGGTGACGATGGCTTTTCATGAAAGTCTTCAGCCTGTTCGGAATGATTTTGTGATTCGTCCATCGAGTCTCTGAACCATCCAGGGGAACTGACTCAACACTAATGTTGAAAACCAGGACGCCGCTTGATATGCTGAGGGCCGCAGATTTTTACACTCATTTCAGAGTAATAAGGGTTTGTCTCGGCTTTCTGATCCTTCTTTTAACATCCTCATCTGTGCAGCCTGCATTTCAAATGATGTTGCCTAGATACGTGGTAGGGGTGGATTTCTTTATAAGTTTGCTGTTGATAGCAATCGATGCTCCTTGTTGTTGGTTAGCTATCGCTATTACCTCTTTCTTCCCTCTATCCACTTGGTTTTTGCCCTGTAGATCTTTGAGTTTGTGTGATATGAATTGCCTGAAAAGCCTGTGCTATTTCAGAGGTAAAAATGACCATTCATTTTCTGTCTTATGTTTATTACGCTTAAAATATATTTCTCCGTTCTACTATGAAGAATCGTTCTATTAAGTCAGTCAAGAAGGTTGTGTGAAGATAGATGATTATTGACTACGGTAAATCAAACTCAAGTTGTTCCTTATATTGGTGTCAAATGAAAGTACAGACAGGGCAACTTGAAATCAGTGTCCCTGGCAGGGAATGTTCCCTGGTGAACTTGACCGTGTGCATAAACATTGCTTTAGGCTTACAAAGAAAAAAGAGACGTTTTCTAATCTGTGCATAGGCTTTTCTCTGTTCAAACGTTATTATGAATAAATCTTCCTTCCCAAATACTTTTAAACATGTTAGTGTAAGGGTAGAATTTGGCGATTGTTATAGAATTTAATTTCATATAACATAAGTTTATTTGGTATATAACATAGTGATAACTGGATAACATTTCTAATTCATTTCATCACCCATAGTTATTCCAATGTATTCCTATAATTTCCTACCTTTTTTTTCTGCAGTCTTTGAATTCCTCTTGTTTAGCAATGCAATTTTTCATGTACTTGAAACTTATGTTACGTCATTTACATGACGTGTATCCCATGTTTAACCATAAGATAAATAAGACTAGGAATGTAAATAATGGTCACCATATAAGTAAGTGATGGGTAGTCAAAAGACTTGATAGTAGTAACATATAAAGAAGGAAAATTTATTACCCTGCGTAGGATTGAATGAAGGTGACGTTTAAACTAACCTTCCAGCTTCCAGTCAACCAAATTAGAAAGACAAACACATAATTAATTCAACACCACAGCATGTCTGTGAGGTAAATTACATACATCAAAGTTGTAGATTGGGTTCAATTGGATTGTTAGAAAATAGATAAGCAAGTCGATCTAGGATGAAATACACAGTTAGGATAAAAAAAGTACTGAAAAATCTGCTATGCATCCATCTGTAATGGACAGCGGAACAAATCAAATAGGAGTGACGCTACAACACTGACGCATATATATATGGCGAATTGCATTAATAGGCGGAATATAGTGAGAAACTACACAAAACAAGTTAAGAAGTAGGCTGAGTATACTGTTTGGCTTTTCAAAGCAGTGACAAGACATTTCTGTAAAATAGTTAGGTAAAAACAAACGTTACAACTTAATTGAATTTTAGGTTTTCCTGTCGATTGATTGGACCGAATTCGCTCGGTCTCAGGTTGATATGTCTGTTGGCTTCTCGCCCAGATGCTTCAGTGATGTCTGGACATTTAGTTAGAATTTAATTGGTGAATGGTGACTAGCAGTGGAATCCAGCTTGATGCGCATTTCGTCCTATTTGATACTCGTCAGCTACTGGATGTACCTGCATTTCCCAGTGAGTGGTGGTGTTCCCGCCAAGGCTCGAACCCAGTGCCAATCACTCGACAGGAAATTCTAAAATGCAATTAAATAATCAATATGACCCGTTGTACAAGAGGTGGCTCCTCTTGTGGCCCAGTTATGGTTTAGTGGATAACGCTTTGGCGTTTGAAACTATGGGCACTGGGTTCGAGCCTCGGTGGGAACATCATCACTCACTGGGAAATGCAGGTACATCCAGTAGCTGACGAGTCCCAAATAGGACGAAATGCGCATCCTCGTGGATTCCACTGCTAGTCACCATTCACCAATTAAACTGTTACAATAGTCAGAAATGAATGTAATGCCGTAGACTGTTAGGCCTAGACAAGACAGATTTTGATGATAAACAGAAATCAATTAGAGAACCATTGGAAAACCGGAAATTACTGGACAGCTGTTTCATCAGCCTAGTTTGGGACTCTTCATCTGTACATCCCCTCCAGGATTGAAACCCGAGAACCTTATGGTCACAAGGCGACCCTGTCCAATGGCCCGAAAATTCTAAATTCCACCAGTTCTCAGTGTAGATATATGAGGCAACCGTAAGCCACCCTGACTTGGTGGAGCCCTTCTGGTCACAGATATACAATAGGTCTTGAATTTCTGTCATCCCCCAAAAGAATGACTGGAATGATCTTTTCATTAATCCCCCTTCTGAATTACTATTCAAATCACAGAAAACCTCCGTAATATTTTTCACATTTATTCATTATACACATATAACACTACAATAATGAAAAATAAATGCATACAATTGACGAGGTAAGTGAAAAAAAAGTAACAACGGTTACCTGACTGGCCTCCTAGTGATTGATTTCTCTCTGTTTCTCTGTCTCTCTTAGGGATCATACAGTTTTTGATAGAAAATAACTCATTAGTATTATTATGATTATGATTATTATTAATCGTCGTATTGACCGTGATATGATCATGATATCACAACTAGAAAAGACCATACAAATGTCAATGGCACATACATCTAAGTATAAGCAATAATGTACACGTCCGATAGATTTGATGACTTCTACAAAGATGTGTAACGACGCATCATATTCTCCAAGCGCATACTCACACGAATAGTATAGTTGGCGTGTTCAATTCTTAAATGTAAAACACGAACTCATACTGGTCAATAAACGTTTTAATGCAGCACGAAATTTTAGATTGAAAAAGAAATAAATTAATGGATTTGCCGCTGAATTTATAAAGTATAAAAAGTGAAATAATCGTCTCAGATGATATTTAATCTCAACACTGGATGTTATACTACTATTATTATTATTGTTAGTAGTATACTCATTAGATTGTATAGAGGGATAACTGTCTGTCGGGTCAACCAATTGAAAAGAATCAGAGTTGCTCAGTAGACTTTCATCAGTAAGAATTTGCGACGTACCATTTTGACTCGTATTTTTTATTTGATGATAATTATTATAACTCGATGACTGGTCTATCGTAGTAGTGTCTGTTGATAATTCCCATTTCACTGGCCATATAAATCCATTAGCAATTAACAAACTTGGTAAATAAGAGATTAAAAAGCTTACTGTTATCAATATAAAGGTAATTGCACTTCGCATATGTCGATTATGCGATATTCTTGGTCGTGTAGACCTTTTCATTGGTTTGAATAGCAAAGATCTTTTTGTTTTGCTTTCAGGTATACTTTTTTTATCTTCAGGTCTACTGATTGATATTTGCGGTTGTATATTTCCACTGGGGGTATTCTGTTGCTGTTGATAGCTGGCTATTTCTACATTTGTATAGATCAGTGGATCACTATGCGTAATGCGTATATTGCAAGGATCTTGTTGACTTCTTGTTGTTGTTGTTGCTGTTATATTCATCTCTGCCATCTGTACACTTGGAAATCTTTCCCTGTTATACTTGTCATCGATTTCTGTCTTTGATAACATCTGCTTTCTATGTGTAGAATTAAAGTTATTATTTGAGGAATTGACTGAATTTTCACTGATTATCTTCTCATGAGCAGGGGTGGGTTTAATTAAGATAGTTCTCGGTGCAAATTTCGTCCTCCAACGATATTGATGCACTAGTATGAAGAAGAACAAGTAACCGTAGAACAGGCATATACATGTGAATATGAAAGCAAATAAAATCAGGATAGACATTTGATAGATTTCATAACCACTGCTCGATATAAAACGTTCATCTGATTTACAGTAGCCATAATTTGTAAATGAAGTAATCAAATCAAGACATTTTGATGAAATATACGTGAATGATGATGAAGAATGTTTCATTGAAGATACAGAAGATGATGATGATGGCGAGGATGATAACGATGATGATGATAATTCTTGGAGCATAATATACGCTTCAATATCATTAGGTACTAATTTATCCACTGTACTTATTTTAAAATACGTATGTACACCTTGGTGTAATCCCATCGGGATTGCCCATAATAAACCTAATATATACGTGATAATAATCAACTTCATAATACACCTTTTCGTCATGATAATACATGGGATAAAACAGATCAACAGCCAACGGTCTAAAGCAATAATGACTAGAAACAGGGCAGAAACAGTCAGTGTGAATGCTTTCAGTGTTACATGTAAACGACACATAAAATCATATGTTCTTGTCTCCCAGACAATAAGAAATATTGTCGTGGGTATGTCAACAGCACAAATAATTAAATCATTAATTGCTAGCAGGACAATTAACAGGTCAGAGTTAAGATTTGTTTGTGTAGTCGGACGCTTAACTGATGAAGATCGGTGGATATTCTGTCGACTGCCTAAATATTCTGTACTACCGTCTGTTGTTGTATGTTGAACTGTTTGTGGTAAACCATTCGTAGTAGCGGTAGTAGTAGTAGTAGTAGCGTTTATGCCAGGCTCATGTTGTCTGTGTAATTTCTCTTCAGTGGAATTCGATAAATGACCAAGTGGTACAAGACTTGGTGTTCTGAATTGATTTACATCAAGGCAATTAGTCAGTTGGCTTTGATGATTGCCATCATCACGACATTGATATACATGTAGTTGGGTTTGTTGATATTCAAGAGGTTTGTTTCGTCGACAACAGAACACACACAGAACGCGTAGACAACGTTCTAACAGGTGAAAAGATCTGCGGAATATATGTCTACCGATTGTATGCACTACTAACCAATTGCCAATTAGACCAAAAATGCTTATGAAGACAAGAAAACATGTGATTATGATTAGCGTTGGAATATAATTTTTCAAGACAAGTTTTTGTGCATTTTCTTCAGCTTCAGCGATAAGACTGTTTAAATCCGATTGTGGTTTTTGAATCGTCGCCATCGCCGCCGTTGCCGTCGTCGTCAACATCTTCATCATCATCAGCAGCAGCACATTGATTCATAGGGAATTTGTTTTAATTGTAACATGGATCATTTAAAAAGCCTGGCGTTTGCACTTTTTGCACAAAAGGAAAGCCGACAATCATGAAACGGTTTAGTCATTCGTTTAGTTTATTAATAAACGTTTTTCTCGGCATATTTTCAACCAATCAGAATTCGTTGATTTTTAACAGACCAATCAGTGATGAGAATATTCCAAACAACAATAATAATCATACGGAATGGAATTTTCAGTGTTTTTATGTGTATTGCGAAAATTTGGCGCCTTTTATAAAGAGATTAATACCTCAAATCGAGATCATAAAACCACTAAGACTGAAATTTAGTGGAAAATAATGAATTATAAATAAATAATATAGTAAATAATACATGTAATAATAACAATGATAATAATAATCTTTGCTTATATTATATATGCCAAACCAAGTTCACTTTTAACAGTTTAAGAAAACTTGGGCATTGGGTATATGATATTCATTATAATAAAGGTTTTTCTGTATTTCCCAATGAATGAAAAACAAAACGATATTGTTTTTACTGACATTTCGCTATTTAATGCTGCTAATAGCTTTGTCAAAGTATTATTAAACCGGAATTTACAAAATCTCAGAGTTAAGAGGTGAGAAAATAGACTTAGGTCATGTTGAAAGGACATATTGAAGGTCAAAATAACAATGAAGATCACTAAACCAAATAACAAAGGTAATCGTATATCTGTTATGATATCAAAACAAAGTTTACTAACGATGATCAACATCGTTCGTCAGTCTAGGGTCATTTTTCGTTGTCAAGTTGGTCAACTGATAAAGATAACAAAACCGAGTGTAGATTGTTGGATTTGATCAGTGTGTAAAATTATAAAGGCAGTGTGTGTTTACATAGTGAACTTGCTTATCACATTCGTGTTGATTTTGTCACTTGACGGGGGAGGGGAGGGAGGTGTTGTAACCAGGTCAATTTTTGTTTTAGTCCATCATTCCTATTCAGACAATTTGGATTTCACTTGATATGAAGTGCTTCTGACGATATTGGACGTTCTTTGTGATTTCGGAAATACTTTTTCTGGATTATTTCAATATTGAGAGTGGTTGTCATCCACGAACTTACTTTAAGTTAATTCTCAGATATCGTCGGGATGCAGTCAATCGACAAGAAAATAAAAACTGAATGAAAAACAAATTCGTACTGATGCTCACTACGCAAGAGATGCCTCGGTGTTTGAAACGATGTGTAGTGGATTCGAGTCTCAACGGGAACACTGTCACTTAGGTATATCCAGAAGACGAATCCCGAAGAGGACGAAATGAGTCCCCTGGATTCCTCTTCTAGTTACCATCCACCAAATTACTTCAGAGCTGTATGATAGTCGGATCAGGATAAAAGACACCATTGAGCAGATAACTTCATTCCAGAGAAAGTTCTGTTCCTAGCAAAACTTATCGTATTTTATCTTTCTTTAAATGCTTTTATGTATCCTTATCTACTGAGTTTACAAAAAATATTTAGTAAACAGAAAGATTGAGCGAAGAAATATTTACTTTTCAATTAGATCCTCATCTCTGGCTCTACTCTAATATACACGTATAGCATTTTTATTACAATACACAACAGTTTACCAAACAAGTGGCACTGATATGTTTGTTAACAATAATTAAACAGTGTCAAAATGTCAATGAGTTGATAATTAACGAAGAAAATAAATACACATTTAAAAGGTAGAAATGGTTAGCATAAATTAATTTTACAAGGATAACACGTAATTAAAGATGAAGTGGTCAGAAAAAATAATTTAGACAATTATAATTTTTATAATTTTAAAGGTTTAGGGGGAGGGGGGCGAAGTAGTCCGGTTTACACATTCATGTAACGATGGCCAAGGTAAGGAAAGTGGCTGTACAAATTTCTTCTGAACACATAGGCTTGGCTTCTTAAGGTGGATTCCGATTGCTTCAGCTGTAGGTATGCAGAAGAATAAGTCGTAGAGCAAAATTAAGATTAGTAGTAATGCGATAGACAATTTTAAATACAGTATTAACATCAACCTTATGCTCAGTATCAACAAGGTGTGCTACAATACAGCTACGAATAGATCTTGTTTATCCGTTGCTTAACCACGCTGGATGATGTTCAGAAATACGATGATGAACCTGTCTAATTGAAAAGTAAATATTTCTTCGCTCAATCTTTCTGTTTTCTAAATGTCTAAATGGGGATTTTTTCTATACAAAAAGTATTATTTATTTTTATTTCTGATATTCTTAATTCCCGATTTTTAAGATTATTTTTTTCTATCCATGTGAATTTATTTCTTATACTTGAAAGAATAGTGGATTCCTGTTTGCTGATCATGTTATAAGAACTTTTAACTAAAGCTTTGCGTTACGTCCATATCTAAATTGCTTTATTTTCGGAAACAGTTTTACCATTTTTTATTATAACCTTGATTATTTTCATGTTTCTTATTATCGGCAAGCTGTGAAACGACTCTATACTACTGATCGATTGAAATAAGTATTTGCACGCCAAAAACACATCAACCATTAGTGCTTACAAACTAGCCAAATCGAAGCGCTAGACTGCGGCCAAGGTCACCAAAGGTGTACCCAGTTTAGCTCATCTCAGAATGGCCGGATCAGTTCGAACGATCCAAATTCTTTTTCTCTTTTCATCATGAATTAATTGAACTGTGACACTCATCCTTTTAATTGATGATCCTAACACTTTTTCGTTAGCCTGAAGTTTCTTTGTTAAATTTAACATTTATGTTACTGTCAAAGACTGATTATGGTTTTTATTTCATATCTTCGTATTTAATACATACATGGCGTGTTTAATTGACAGTTTCTCCTGAAATCTAAGTATCTCTTTGAGTCCTGCTTCACTAAAATTTGTTGCCAATTTCAACGATATATAATTTCTATAGTCTTCAATCAAGTTTGTTTGTGTCAGTGGCCTAGGGGCTTGTTGGTAGCGCTTTGCTTAGATTTTTAGACAGTGAGATGCTCGCCACTTAACCGGATGGTAATGACTGGATTCCTCACAGATGTACATTTTATCCTCGCCTGGTTTACTGGCCTGTAATAAACTCGGAAAAAACAGAAGTTTTTGTGTCAGGCTTGCAATCGAACCCCATGGAAGACCCCTAATGAAACTTAAAGGTTTGGTGTGCTACATTTCCCTCCAAACGCAAATTAGTGAAGAAAAGCTTAGGTTTAGTCACTCTTATGAAACAAAAGGACAACTTGGCGTTATTATTTGAGTATGTCGCTAATAAACTGACTGTGAATGGGTAAGAAAATTGATTTTAGTTCTTGGCTGCTCCCTACAGCACGTGGTCCGTGGCTCAATCCTCGTGGAGGCCAGTAAATAGGAAAGACCTGGTTGCGAGGCTAGCAACGTCACTCAGTAAAATAAAACCACTGTTACCGAATCTTCAAAGCTCTAGGTTGAAGCTCTCCATTCTGTTCGCAACGTAAAGGAATAAAATAATGACAACACCATTTCTAGTTCGAAAATAAACTGACTTCAGTTAGAGAACCGCTGGAAAAGCGGTAGTACTAGGTATCTGCTTCGTCATAGTCTTGAACGTTTCCGCACTGTGCACCCATAACTCCACCGGGGGTCTAAACCAAAACCTTCAGGTTGTGAGACGGGCTCGCTGATGTTTGCCTTTTTATTTTGCGAATGGGCGGAAGTAAGAACTTATTTTTACTTAGAACAAATTAAGTTTGCCAGAATACAGAAAAGTCTAATTTCCTACAAAACTCATTCTATCTTTTAGAATAGTTTGATAAACGCTTATCTAATCAGTTTGTAAACAATAACGTTTATTTTAATTCTAGAATTCCTAATTTTTGATCTTCGCAATTATTTTTCTCTACTCATGCTAATTTATTTTTTATGTTGCGGTCATTTGTAGATTATTGTTTATCGATCGATATGACAAACGAGTTTCTGCTTAAATAACATGAATACATGGTGGGAATTCGATTGCTAAACTTCACAATCAGAATTCAGAATAATACTGGGATAGTGAAAGGAGTGGGGACAATAGAGAGGTATAACTACTTATATGGAAGTATAGGTAGGCCCACGTCCAAACAATGTATCAGTGGCGCGGGGACAGAATGTTTGCCAACCACTCAGGCAGTCCGGGGTTATATCCCTGGCTAATACACTCTTTTACCTCTCATACCTAGTAATAAGCCAGATAAAGAGGGAGGAACGGGAGTAAGACTAGCAATTCCACTCCGTAAGACTAAAACGGCTGCCACCAAAACTTCAAAGCCCTAGCTTGAAGCCTTATGTTTCACTGGGAACGCAAAGGAATGAAAAAATGAAAATAAACAAAACGTTCAAACAGATCGACAATGAAAAGAAAAAGTACCTCCTTGAAATAAAGAAAATCATTATTGTTATGGATAAATTCTCAGTTTTCAGAGGGTAGAATCTATGCAGCTTGTCGTAGTTTACAACGATTAATGAAACATATCATGCTCCAACATTTGTCACTGCATAGGAAACGGAAGAGAATGGGATACATTACTATTATTAATTTACGGTCAGTAAAAATCAGTTTTATGTTGAACCGTGCAATTCACATTTTCCCACTTGATTTATTCGTACATGAAAATCCAAAAACTGATATCGCAGACAGGTGGGTTCACCAAGTTGGATATCAGAACAAATCCTATTCGATGACATCGGCTGACAGTTGCATTATGTCTCTCGAATTAGCAAGAGATGAGATCAATAGATTACTAGATTTTGTCTCAGTGGCTGAATGATAAGGGGGGCTCGCCGGGCAGCTTAAAAGTCATTGGTTCGATCCTTAGAGGAATCATGGGTGCGTGTTGCCGAAGAGTCCTGAATAAGGATGAACCAGCTGTCCATTACTTCGTAGCTTGCACGGGTCCTTTAGATGAAGTCAGTTTGTGGTCAAGCTTGAAATCATGTCAAACTGATGATACTGGTTACTAAA